TTGTTTTCTTGCAGACATTTCATGACCCAACTAGGGAACATCATCAGTGCTAGATGGAGTGAGGTTTGTGGAGAGGAGGAGGAGGAGGAGGAGGAGGAGGAGGAGGAGGAGGAGGAGGAGGAACGGTGGGATCCCTTGGTGCTCTCTGAGCTTGGCGGTTTTCTTGCAGACATTTCATGACCCAACTAGGGAACACCCTCAATGCTAGAAGGGAGTGTAGCTTGCTCTCTGTTTACACACACGTGGCTTGCCCTGTCAGTATTTATGGGGCTTTTGTCCTTTTCTTCTTCCTGCTTCCTTGATTAGCCTGTCATTTGCTGTTAGCTTCTTTGTTTGAGTTGGTTAATTCCTGGTTTCTTTCCTGCTTGGCTGTTGGTCTAAGAGTGGTGGCTTGTATCTGACACGTGTCGTTTGCCACCCATCTCACCCTGAGATGACTTTGAGCAGCTTTAATGTTGAAAGCTATAAAAACACAATACATAAATATTTCTAAAAACAATAAAATAGAATTGCAATCGACAGTAAAATCGTAGTGAAGAAATGGGGAGGGAGAGAGAGCAGGAGGTGCAGGGGGTTGTGGTGAAAACAGGACTTGTCACTGCCTGAAGGAGATCTGTGGTGGGCAGACCACCTTCTAGTATCCAAGCTCCTGAGGGTCTCCAGGTGCTGGACATCCCCCACCAGAAGAAGGCACAGAGTATGGATGGCCATGTTCCTCCTTGTTCTGTGGCTCTTTAGGGTCCAACCCATGGATCAAGGACTCCATTGATGCGTTCGTGAATAGATGAGAACCAAGAAACCACCAGATGTTTGTGTTGAAGGCCACCAGCTCCATCTCAGTTCTCTCACCTCCTTTCTTCCCCGAAATAGTTTGAAGAGGACATTTTGGACATCAGCTTGGAGCTCCTGGACAACAACCCCAAGTTCCTCCTTAATCAAGACAAGGACTGTGCTCGACGCAACAGCCCCGTCTACGTCAGCAGGGTGGTGAGCGCCATGGTAAGACCGCGGACCTTTGACCGCGCTCAAGGAAAAGACAGGATGGGTTTCTGGGGCAGGGTTGACTAGCCCTTCCTTGACAGAGGAGAGCAGACTCCAAAGGATCCCCAAACCTTCTCTGATCTGGCTGAATTCCTCCTGCACTGAAACCAACAAGGTTTAAAGTTGATCCAAGGTCTAACAAGGTGGACCTACACCAGGGGTAGGCAACCTTGGCTCTTTTATGACTCGTGGACTTCAACTCCCAGAATTCCTCAGCCAGCATGGGGGAACTATGGCCCCTTCGTGACTCCTGGACTTCAACTCCCAGAATTCCTGAGGCAGCCATGCTGAGGGGAAAGGGAGAGGTTTCCAAGCTGAGCCAGGCTGGCTGAGGAATTCTGGGAGTTGAAGTTCACGAGTCATGAGGGGGCCGTAGTTCCCCCATGCTGGCTCAGGAATTCTGGGAGTTGAAGTCCACCAGTCATGAGGGGGCCATAGTTCCCCCATGCTGACTGAGGAATTCTGGGAGTTGAAGTCCACGAGTCATAAAAGAGCCAAGGTTGCCTACCCCTGACCTACACAAAACAATTTTGTAAACTTTGTTTTGTGGCAAACTTGTGCTGAGGGATCCTTGGTGCTCTCTGAGCTGGGTTGCTTTCTTGCAGACATTTCATGACCAAACTAGGTAACATCATCAGTGCTGGAAGGGAGTGCGGTTTGTGAGGAGGAGGAGGAGGAGGAGGAGGAGGAGGAGGAGGAGGAGGAGGAATACAGTGTGGTCCTTGATGCTGCCTGAGTTTGGTTGCTTTCCTGCAGACATTTCATGACCAAACTAGGTAATGAAGGGAGTGAGCTTTGTTCTCAATTTACCCCACTCCCTGCTGGAACTGATGATGTTACCTAGTTTGGTAATGAAACGTCTGCAAGAAAACATCTAAGCTCAGAGAACCACAAGGACCCCTCCGTTCAACCCTGGGTTACCCATATTCTTCTTTCTCAATTGAAACTTGTGTTATCTCACGCTGAGGCGTTGGTTTCTTGGCTGCAGGTCAACTGCAACGACGACAAAGGCATCCTCTTTGGACGCTGGGACAACCGCTACGATGACGGGGTCAGCCCCATGACCTGGAGTGGCAGCGTGGACATCCTTCGGAGGTGGCAGAAGTACGGATGCCAACCGGTTCGGTACGGGCAATGCTGGGTCTTTGCCGCGGTGGCCTGCACAGGTGAGAATCTGTCACAGGTCAAGATGCTGCCCAGGTGGGTCACAATCATGGAGGTGCCGCTGGTTGGAGGGAGAGGTTCAAGATGTGTCCCACAGGTGCTTTTTCCCCAAAAGGAAACCCAAATAAAAATAAAAATAATAATAATAATAATAATAATAATAATAATAATAATAATAATAATAATAATAATGATGATGATGATGATGATGATGATGATGATGATGATGATGATGATGATAATAATAATAACTGGAGCACCACTTGAACACCATTGGCACTGACAAATTCGCCATTAGTCAATTGCAAAAGGCGGCCTTACTAGAAACTGCTTCCATCCTGCGACGAGATCTGTGATACCATCAAACATCCACATCTGCCTATCCCAGGTCCTTGGGAAGGACTCGATAGGTAGACAAAAAGGCCAAATCCAGTCTGAACATCTGGCTGACTGTGCGATGATCCACAATAATAATAATAATAATAATAATAATGATGATGATGATGATGTTGGAAGGGACCTTGGAGGTCATCTAGTCCAACCCCCTGCTCAGACAAGAAACCCTATACCATTTCGGACAAATGGCTGTCCAGTCTCTTCTTAAAAGCTTCCAGTGTTGGAGAATTCACCGCTTCTGGAGGCAGGTTGTTCCACTGGTTAATTGTTCTAACTGTCAGGAAGTTTCTCCTTAGTTCTAGGTTGCTTCTCTCCTTGATGAGTTTCCATCCGTTGCTTCTTGTCCGGCCTTCAGGCGCTTTGGAGAATAGCTTGACTCCCTCTTCTTTGGGGCAGCCCCTGAGATACTGGATCACGGCTATCATGTCCCCCCTCGTCCTTCTCTTCATTAGACTGGACTTACCCAATTCCAGCAGCCATTCCTTATATGTTTTAGCCTCCAGTCCCCTAATCATCTTTGTTGCTCTTCTCTGTACTCTTTCTAGAGTCTCAGCATCTTTTTTACATCGTGGTGACCAAAACTGGATGCAGGATTCCACTTGTGGCCTTACCAAAGGCAACTGGGCTTTCTTGGTTTTCTTTGAAAACCTTTTGCTTCTCATCCAGAACTGAAGAAGCTTCTTGGATGAGAAGTGAAACATCTTCAAGGAGATATCTATGGAGATTCTCCATCATCCAGGTCCTGGTTGTCCCAAAGGTGCTTTTTTTCAGGAGGCAACTGGATTTTCTTGTTTTTCTTTTGAAGACCTTTCGCTTCTCATCCCAGAAGCTTCCTCAGGTTCTGACCGAATGGTGGGGAAGGGAAGGATTTATACTCCTTGCAGACAGCCGGTCCTTTGCCTTCTTTCAGAGAGCCATTGAGTCCATTTTGACACAGGTAAACCTCCAGGTGGCCTCCACGACCAGCTGCTAATTGTTCTCACTGTTAGGAGGTTTCTCCTTAGTTCCAGGTTGCTTCTCTCCTTGATGAGTTTCCATCCGTTGCTTCTTGTCCTGCCTTCAGGGGCTTTAGAGAATAGCTTGACTCCCTCTTCTTTGGGGCAGCCCCTGAGATATTGGAATACTGCTATCCTGTCCCCCCTCGTCCTTCTCTTCATTAAAACTAGACATGGTCAATTCCTGCATTCACAACTTCTGGAGGCAGGTTGTTCCACTGGTTAATTGTTCTCACTGTTGGGAAATTCCTCCTTAGTTCCAGGTTGCTTCTCTCCTTGATGAGTTTCCATCCGTTGCTTCTTGTCCTGCCTCCAGGGGCTTTGGAGAATAGTAGGGTTCATCAAGTTCACCCCACCCTACCCCCAAATTCCTGCTGCCTCTTGTAAGTCTTGGGGAGAAGAGGAGGAGCATTCCTCAGGGTAATTAAAGCAAACCGGGCGGGCAGAT